GCTATGATCCCAGGGAAAAGCCAGGGAATGTGGATGCTAGTCTCTGGGCAGCTCTCCTGGAGGTAAATGAGCTGATTCCTCCCACTTCTCAGCTCAAACACTGCTTCGTGCGGAGACTGAGGCTGGTAGTTCAGCTCGATTCTCTCCCCAGTAACCAAGGATGTCTGATCATCAGGCTGCAGCAGGCACCTGTGACCACTTCAAATGCATAATTTGTACACAAAACCTAGAGATGAATCAAGATGTCCAGTGTGGTAAACATTAGAAACAAAACATAACACCAAAACAAAACAAACAAAACCCTATCTCCAAGCCTAACATTTGCCTTTCCTTCTCCTTGAGGAAAAACCCATAGTTTTGGTGAATTTGATCTACCTGCTATTGATCAGATAGAAAGAGATTAGTAGAAATGCCAGTTGGACCTTTTAGAACTGCCATGAAGATGATAATCTGGAAAAGAGAAGAACGTCTGACTGCTTCTATTTACTTCAAAACCTCAAGGGTTTGGTTCCAGGTATGATGTGTGCTTCCAGTCTACTGCGACATTTGGTGTAATTCAACCATTTATTAAGTCCCACAAAAAAGAAATGGTTTTCCAATCCTCATGAGAATGTTACTGGAATCAGGGTGCCTGGTGTTTGCCACTTGCTCACCAAGCAGCAGGGACACTTTGGAACGTACATTCCATAATAGGAGGTTCCGTTCACTTGTCACTCATGTTATTAAACAGCTAATGCATGCAGGCATTGTGCTGGGCATGCTCAAAAAAAAGGTTTCTCTCTTCACCCTGTTAAACACATACCAGCCTCCAGTGCCCAATACTGGCATGCCCAAGCCTATGTATACTATTATACTTTTTCCTTTTGCCCTACTATCTCCTTTTAACATCTTAGTTTTTACACTTATTATTTATTTTCTGTCTCTGTACACTGGAATGTAAGCTTCAGGAGGGAGGAGATTTGGAGCTACTTTTTATGACTAACATACCCTTAGTATTCACCACAGTGCTTGTTTAATCCTATATTACAAAGGTCCATAAGCATCACGACAGGAACGACCGCTGGACCAATGGGGAACCACAGGGAACTGGGTGGGTGGTGGTGGTGGCTGGAGCGAAGCAGCCCAGGTCTCGGGTAGGTGCCTGGCGGCTGCCGGAGCAAAGCAGCCCCAGTTCTGGGTGCCTGGCGGTGGCTGGAGCAAAGCAGCCTGGGTCCTGGGTGCCTGGCAGCAGCGGTCAGAGCAAAGCAGCCCAGGTCCCGGGTGCCAGAGGGAAGCCAGTGCCAGCAGCTGGGGTAAGGAAGGCCTACTCTTGCATGAATCTTTGTGCATCGGGCCTCTAGTTAATACATGTTTGTTGAAGGAATGAATGAGCTGTTTATAGCTTCATGGGGAAGATAGATCTTAGCCTTGGGACCAAAGAATTTACCTACACACTTTCAAGAAAATCTCTCTCTATAAAACCCTAAGCGACCGGTGGACCACTTGGCCATTTACCGGTTGCTATGATGTGCACTGACCACCACCAGGGGGCAGACACTCAATGAAGGAGCTGCCCCCTGGTGGTCAGTGTGTTCCCACAGTGACTGGTGCCAGAGTGCCAGGCTCCTAGCTGGTGAGCACAGCTGTGGTAGCGCAAGCCTCTCCTGCTTCTGTGGTAGCAGCAGCAGGCGCAGCAGGGCCGGGATGAGTGGGAGTGGTGTGGTGCCGGCCCGGGCTCGGGCTCCTCCCTGGCCACTTGCCACTTCGCTCACTACTACATCCCTCGGGGGATGTCGGACTGCCAGAACAGGCCGAAACTGGAGGGGTCCCAGATTGCGAGAGGGCACAGGCCAGGCTGAGGGACACCAACGGTGCACGAATCTGTGCACCGGGTCTCTAGTATAAAATAGGAACACCCTCACAAGGCAGGGTTTGCTCCCACTAAGGAAGTCCCACAAAATAAAAAGAAAGGGTTTGGGGGATGCTGTCCTTAATGGCTGTTAAACTTATGGGATGGTATCAATTTGTTTCAATTCATAATAAAGTGTACTTTTCTGCGTAGGATTTTTGTGGCTAGGGCTATTGGAGCCAAGTGTAAGAGAAGCAATGAAGACATTACTCCACCATTCTCTCAAAACTAATAAAGATGCATTGGCTCCAAGGTGATAATGACTTAACGGAACTCTTTTTTTGTTTGTCTTAAATATAATGATGATTTACTATGGCTAAGAGAAATGAATTTGGGGGGTTGTAATGGGCTTGTTTCTTCTGAGTATACATCTCTTTTGAAGCAGTTTTAAGCTTTGTGGAAATGAATCTGAAGAATCTCAGCAATGTCCCGTTTGGATGAACGCCACTTCAATGGCTCCAGTCCACGGAATTGGGTTTGAAAAGTGTGCTTCCTAAGGAGGGCGTACTCTGGGAGCACAGGCAGGGAGCACACAGCATTTTCCTGCCCAAAAGTCCAAAGGGCACAGGGGCCCCTCCGGGTACTCACTCAGGGCTTTGCAGATATCACTGACAGCTCTGAACACCACAGCTGAGAAGCTGACTCGCAATCGCACCGTCTTCACGTTCGGCAGGCGCAGGCGAAGCATTTTATGCTGAGGGGTGAAGACAAGCTTTGCATCTGCCTGGACTCCACATTTGTCCAGGGTCCAGTGCGTTTTCAGGAGCCAGCAACGCTTTTGTTCCCACCAAAGGGCAAAGTCTGACCAGTCTTGGGCTATTTCTGCAAAAATAGAAAACACAGTGAAGTACAAGGAGAGGGAGGGCACGCCAGTCAATTCCATCGTGCGCAAAAATGCAAACAAAGGGCTGCTCTTCAGCGCCCCATCTCCTGGTACAACCCTAGGCTCAACGATTTTTGGCTTCTCTTCAAAGAGTCTAAGGCGAGACAGGTAGAAAACAGACTGAATCTTACCATCACTGATACTTCAATGCTGCGGAAGGAACAGACATACACAAATTCTGTTCATCTTGAAATGCTGAAGTTCTCTTCCTTCCATCTCCCAGCGCCATGGTCCTTCCTGGGAAGACCAGGAGCGCTCTGCTTTGTTTAATCAAGATAATTTCTCCACTAGAAATGTATTCTTGCCCCCGTGGATCACAAGGGGATAAGCCCAATCAGAGCTTGCACGGAAGTTCTATAAAGCTGACACGTCACCCTTCTCGGTAAGGCCCAGCTCTTTTATCAGAGCCATCATATCCCCAGTATCCAAAGTGTCTACACTGAAATCAGAGCCGAATATTTTCTGAGAGTGAGCATCAACACGGAAACTGCCCCCTTCTCCAATGTTGGCATCAACGTTGAATCGTTTCCCTTCATCAATGTTGGAGTCAATAGTCAATCTTTTATTTTGCTAAATGAAGAGCCACCAGTGTTGTTATTTACTTTGAAAAAAGTGGTTTCTCTTTCTTTCCCTCTCTTTTTAACTTAGTGGCTACCTTTGGCGGGGCAGTGACAAGGAGGGGTCAGGTACGGGACTGGGCTGGGGGAACAAGTAATGTTTTATTTCTTGACCTGGGTGGTGGTTACATGACTTGGAAAATTCACTGGGCTTTCTTTCACTAGTGTCAACGAAGAGCCCACACCCATGGCCTTAGAAGATAGAAATAAATACAAGGCAAACAGAACATTATTAAATTCTAGGTTGATCGTGTTGACTCCTGATGTGAAACTCTGACCCTGAAGATTTCTCTTTCTCTGTTTAAGAAGAGAGAGTAGCAACCGGTGGGTATGTGTTAAAAGACAAACTAGCACCAAGCTGACTTTATCACTGAGCAATCAAGCACTAACAGGAGTCCAGCACCTCGAAAAAGCCTGCGGTCACCCTAGATGTCACCCGTAGAATGGGTTCATTCTTGTGGAAACAGGGCATTTTACCTACCGGGAAGCTTTGGTTTGTTACCAGGGAGTCAAGGTTTTACAAGGGTTGTTAGGGGTGGGTTGGTCTGAGACTCTTGCAGGGCCCCTCAGTTCTCTTCTTCTTGGGGGAAGGGTGCTAGCTCTCTGGGCCATTACCAGACACAGGATCAGAAAAACATAGGTGATCAGACAACTTAGATCAGCGGCGATGCAACAGAGAGGGTTTCAGGTATAGAGACACCAGAACAAAACAGAAACTTACTGATCTTCTCTACTAACTTGAGCATCACCCCGCCAACGTGCAGGTCCCCGGACACTGTCAGGGTGACGTCTTTCTGATCCGCTTGATCTGGATGGTCCACTCGGATCATGAGTTCCCAAGAAGCAGATGCAAAGTCATTGGCTGAGAGCATTGTGGCAAATGCCGGTGTCTGCTGCATCGAAGGGCGGACAGAGATCAGAACATGAGGAGACCCTGCAGAGAAAAACGTTTTTACGTTTACTTTTTTTATTTTGGCCTCATCTTGAAAAAAATCTGCGGCATTCTCAGTGCCCCGGATATTAAATCAGCATCTTAATTTTAAAGACAAGAAAGTATTATACAAAGGGTCTCAAGCCTTCTAAATTTATCTTTCATTTCTCCCAAGACCACGGGTTTTTTTTTATTTTCTGTGCCTGCCCAATGCGTGAACCTTCATTTTCCCTCTCTACTGGCGTTTCTTAATCTTCTCTGAACTATTCTAGCAGCCGGCAACAAATGATGGCAATCCTTGATGATACCTTTAAAAAGAATCCACTTTATTAAGGATAATTCGCACACAAGAAAACACACAGGTTTTAAATGTACCATTGAATACATTCTGTTGTACGCAAATTATACCTTAATAAAGCTGATTTTAAAAGGATGTCATTAAAATCTTTCTCTATCTGTAATATAATACATATGTATTATTATGCTCCTCCTATAAATATTAATGACATCTTCCAGTATGAAAATTCAAAAACTAAACATATAGCAAAATAGTGTCTATTTCAGCTAAGCAGTATCAATCAAAACAGAAACGTCTCAAGGGGGTAATAGGAACCCTGGAATCCAGACTTAGCAGAACTTAAAATATTAGCTCTCTGTTAGTTTTAAGTATGCTTTTTTATTGATTTTAGGAGAGAAGGAGGGAGAGGGAGAGAGATAGAAACATCAATGATGAGAGAGAAACAGTGATTAGCTGCCTCCTGCACACCCCCTACTGGGGATAGAGCCCGCAACCCAGGCATGTGCTCTGACCGGGAATTGAACCTATGACCTCTTGGTTCATGGGTTGACTGGCTCAACCACTGAGCCACACTGGCTGGGCTCTCTGTTACTTGTAAACAGAAAGCAAGTGATAATATGTCTCCTGGCTATCTAAAGATTTTAAATCAAAATCAGTCATGTACGTGATAACAAATCTTTTTCACTTGGCTAGGTAAAGACAGCTTATGAGGAATCCATGTTTTCATAAGACCTATTTAAAACACAACAACATCGGTGCACTCAAATTCCTAAGAAAGGGCTGATCAAACCCAAAGTGCCCCAAATTCCCCTCCAGATCTCATTAACATGCAGGTTCTATTCAGCAGGTCTCAGGGGACCCTGCTTGCGTAAATAACTCCCTGTGATATCAGTCTGTGGCTCACACTTTTGAGTTGAAACAGCCCAGTGAAACATTAGCCCCAGGGCTCAGTTCCTCCCTCCACCCGCCCACATCAAGATCAAGCCAGGGACTATAGTGGCTTCTGAGGAACACTATTTTTAATAATAAGCAATCATTAATCCACCAGGATCATACCAGTTTGGTGTTTATTTGAAACTGTTCATAATTGTAAGCCTCAGAGTATCCTGAAATACACAAAATAGCTAAACATGCAATTCTGAATAGGCATAGGGCAGATTTTATTTGTTTGAATCAATTCAAAAGTTCAGAAGTAGCTCCTAAGGTTTTTATGACCAGAGGGACGCCAGTGATGTAATAATGCTTATCCCTTCCCATGCACATATGCGAATCTGCAGACCCCTTGCTGGGGCAGCCGTGCCATGGGTATATCAGGCCTAACTACTCCCTTCCTCCTCATCAGCCCCAAGTATTGTTTATTATGTACTTACTGGGTGTTGTATTCTGTGTTAACTACTATTCTTGTGTTGTCTCCACCCTGTCAGCAATCCCATTTAGAAACGAGGAAACCTAGGATCAGAGAGGCTAGGCAACTTACTGAAAAGCACACAGCAAGTTAGATGGTAGAGCCCAGACGGAAATTTAGGTCTTTCTAACTTTAAACTCTTAACCACCACACCGGGACACATCCTTGATACTGTTGCAACACCAACAGGAAATAAAACTCTTAAGAACACGTGAGCTAAACTCTCTGTAGCCTTTAATAAGCATTTCTACTCATGTAAATCTTTCCCAGTGAGGAAACAATAAAGATAGCACCTTCACAGACAAACTCACAACAGGGCATTGAGCTGTTTGACTTTAACAGCTTTACAATTTCTCAAATGCTATGGTTTGGAGTTTAGTTATTTAAAACGTTTTGTCCATAAAGAAAATAACCTGTCTTTGAAGGTGAGCAATCATACCTAAAGGTCTTTTCTTTCCTTACCTGGGCAATCAAAACACTTCTCATTGAGGCAACAGATGGTGATTCCCTCACAACAAACTCAGGCTAAAATTAGACAACCTGGTTTCCCCACATTCCTACCCTATCTTTCCGCGCCTTCATTTTTACTGAATTTCTCATCCGCAGCAAGCTGCTACTTGTTGAGCAGAGCAGCGAACTTCAACCGCGAAAGGGCATCTGAGAGGCCAGAACAAGAAGCTAGGCCACCAGCAGAATGCCTGCCTGGGGCGAAGCCCGGCTGCCTACCTCCTCCTGTCCTTTCGAGAAAATGCAGGAACGAAAGTGAGACAGAGGGACAGGGGGGTGGGCAGAAAAGAAGGAAATAAGGAAGGCAGACAGACCAGAAAACGAGACAAAGGATGATAGATTGATCATTACACAGACGATGATAGATCGATC